CCTCGGCCTCCCAAAGGCGCGGGATGACAGGCTGAGCCACCAAGCCCGGCTCATGTCTGTCATCCCAGCACTTTGGGAGGCCGAGGCAGGAGGATCGCTTGAGCCTAGGAGTTCAAGACCAGCCCGGGCAACATAGCAAGACTTCATCATCTCTACAAAAAGAAAAGAAAAGAAAAAAACCATAGTCGAGTCTGGTGGTGGACACCTATAGTCTCAGCCATTCGGGAGGCTGAGGCGGGAGGATTACCTGAGTCCAGGAGGTTGAGGCTGCAGTGAACCATGATCGTGCCACTGCACTCCAGCCTGGGTGGCAGAGCAAGACTCTGACTCAAAATTCATAAATAACTTAAAAATTAAAAAGAGAGAAAACTGTAAAAATGAGGGTAGGAGTGTCCAAGACCCTGACATCTCAGAACAAAGGATCCATAAAGACCCGAAACCCCACGGGTCCCACTAACAGCACCCAGCTTGGGGTGAGTCCATCCTTTTAGGGGGAAGAAGAACCCAGAACACCAATCCTGAAGGCTTGATTCGGAAAACACTGAACTGTACGGATTAGGACTCCACCCTGCTTTCAGCGGCCTCAGATTCTCCCCAAGAATAAAAAGAGCCGAAAAGATCCAATGCGTGCCCCTCCACCCACCCACAGAGACGCTCCGCCATCTTTATCTAATTACACGCTCTGAGCCAGCAGGCCGGTGACTCATTCTCAAGAGCGAGCGGCCCGGTTCAAAATAACCCTCTGGATTCTCAGCACCAAGGGTATTTCTGGAGGGGCTGCCCACACGTTCCCCCCTACTCCCACCCCGCGCAGCAGCACGCGTGAGCCACAGCGCGTGCTGCTCTTGAACAAAACCCTGCATATATTTTCACAACACGGCGGCGCCTGCTGGGTGCTGTTCTTGGAAGTCGCACCAAGGAGCAAAACACCCAGGAAATCGCCGAGCCCCCAACCCTGCACACGCCTCCAACAGGAAGGAAGATACCACCTCCTCAGCTGTGCAAATCAGAACTGCCAGACTGGGGTTCATGCCGGCTGGCGAGGTCGCTGGGATGCTCGAATGGCCTGTCACTCGCCAGGGGGCTTTTGCCCAGCGGGCTGCCCGGACACAGGCCATGCTAGGAGCTAGAAATGACCGTGTTTGTTTATACGTGAATCGGAAAGGGCTCTTGTCTTCTCTCCCCCGCCACCCTCACACTGCCCCCCCCCCAGCTGCAGAGAGGGACTCTGCGTCTGTGTCTCAGACGCTTGTTCCCAAAGTCGGAGTCTGGTGACAGGACCCCTCCCTTGATTGTTTGAAGCCTTTCTGGGAAGATGAAAATAGCCTTTCTTTTCTGGGCTCCCCTTTGATCTCAACTGCTCTCAGAGCAGACTCGACTTCCTGTGTTTGGACAACTCAGCCAAGACGTGGCTATTTTGTCCTGGGAGTTTCCCCTGCCGCCTCCCTCTGACCCCTATCACTCCAGACCATCTTTGGGCCCCTCGCTCGCTGGGTAGCATCCTTTGATGGTGGCCTGGCTAGGGAGAGCAGCCTCGTCTCACCGAATCAGGGCCTTCTGAGTGTTTAAAACACACCGTATCAATCCCTGCGCCTGAGACAGGCGCTGGAAACCCAGTATGTCCCTACGGGGTTGGAGACAGGGTGAGATTCAACCGCAGTGGGGCAGGAGAGACTCTTTGAAATGTAGTTTAATTGGGAGACTGCGGCAGGAGGATGTCCTAAGCCCAGGAGATCGAGCCTGCAGTGAGCCATGATCATACCACTGCACTCCAGCCTGGGCAACACAGTGAGACTCCCGACAAATATTTATATATATATATATTTCTTTTCTTTTAAATAAAAAATGAAATGAAATGTGGTTTAAGGATCTTTCAGCTTGTGTCATGACCCTGGCCTGGGGATCACTGGCTATTTGAGCTGAAGGCACCCCCTGATAAGCCCCTCACTGAGAGAGGGAGAAACTGAGGCCCAGAGGAGGGCAGAGATAGGTGCAACTCACAAGTTGCGCATGCCTTAAGGTGAATTGCACAGTGGGGACTTGGTGCCACCCTGACAAACCTACTCAAAGAAGGTTTTCCCCATATGAGGCCATAGGTCCTACAAGGTCCCTCTCCTACCTTAAATGCTCAATTTGTTTTGTTGTGTTATGTTTTTGTGACTATGGGTCTCACTTTGTCCCCCAGGCTGGAGTGCAGTGGCACGATCCCAGCTTACTGTAGCCTTGACCTTGTGGACTCAGGTGATTCTCCCGCCTCAGCCGCCAAAGTAGCTGGAACCACAGGTACGTACCACACACCCAGCTAATTTTATTTCTTTTCTTTCTTTTTTTTTAAGTGAAGTCTCACGCTGTTGCTCAGCTGGAGTGCAGTGACATGCTCACAGCCACCACAGCCTCAACCTGCTGGGCTCAGGCGATCCTTCCACCTCAGCCTTACAACTGACTGGAACCACCGGTGCGTACAACCACACCCAGCTGTTTTGTTTTTTTTAAAAATTTATTGTAGAGACGAGATCTCACCATGTTGCTCAGGCTGGTCTCGAACCCCTGGGCTCAATCCTCTTACCTCGGCCTCCCAAAGTACTAGGATTACAGGCGGAAGCCACTGCACCTGGCTTTTTTTTATTTCTTATAGAGCCGAGGTCTTGCTATATTGTCCAGGCTGGGATCAAGCGATCCTCACACCTTGGCCCCTCTCATTTTGTTTCTTTTTCTCTTTTTTTTTTTTTTTTTTTGAGTCGGAGTCTCACTCTGTCGCCCAGACTGGAGTGCAGCGGCCGCTCCCGGCCACCGCAGCCTCGACTGCTGGGCTCCGGCGATCCTTCCGCCTCAGCCTTCCAAGTAGCCGGAATTACAGGCATGCGCTACCACGCCCGACTGAATTTTTTATTTATTGTAGAGATAAGGTCTCGCTGCCCAGGCAGGTCTCGAATCCGTGGGCTCACTGTGCTTCTAAAAGTGGCTGTTTGCTGAGGCCTTACCATGTGCTCCCCACACGGATGCAAAGTAACACTCCAGACCCACTGGGAGGTGAGGCAGGCCCACACCAAAGATTCAGGATTGAGATTCAATGGCTGGTCACACAGGCATTGCTGTCCGATTGTGGCCTTCCGGCCTGCTGCTGGGAACCCTTCTCAGACTCAGAGCCTGCATTCTAAAGCAGAACCTGCTACTCCACGCCAGCTACCAAGCCCCTCAAACCAGCCAGAGGCCCCATGCCTTGGAGGCTTTGAGGGTGCAAGGGGCAGGGTGAACAGACAGCCTTGTCCACCCCCGTGGGAAGAGGAGCAGCGACAGGGGCGCCAAGGCCCCCTCAGTCCACCTCTGCAAAGGATTCCGTCCAGAACCCGCCAGACATGCCCTGGGTGCCCCCTGAGCACTGTAGGCCTGGTGGGAGCCAGAGGCCTCAGAAAACTGTTTGAGGAAAGGGTGGGCACCCCGGGGCTCCCGCACACTCGCCCTTGTCCATGGGGATGGGTTGAGAGGATGGCTGCTGACTGCCTCACCCTGAGAGTAAGCCCTAGATCTGAGGCCCGGGGAGGTCGTCTCAGCACCCATGACTTGGCTGAGGTTCAAGTCAGGCTCAGGTCTACGGTCAAGGGGTTGGATGGGTCTTTAGAAAAGAAAACAACACAAAGACCGACGGGCCTGTACCTGTCCCCATCCCCACCGCCCAGGTGTCCCAGCTGTGTCTACCAAAGTGTCCCCAGCAGTGACTATCCAGGTGTCCTCAGCTGTGATTGTCCTGGTATCTCCAACCCTGACTGCCCAGGTGTCCCCAGCCATGATTGTCTAGGTGTCCCAGCAGTAACTGCCCAGGTGTTCCCAGCCATGTCTGTCAAGGTGTCTCCAGTCATGACTGTCCAAGTGTCTCCAGCCATGAATGCCCAGGTGTCCACAGCTGTGGCCTTGGCTCTGGGACCTGGCACCAAGTGGACCCTCACACCACCCATGACAGCTGTAGCTCCAGCCCTGCATGCTGGTTTTGGAGGCTGGGCCTTGTTGAGGAATGTCCAGGATCCTTCCTGACCTCCCCTCTGGCCTGTGGTAAAGGCTGGAGCTGAAGTGTGCCACACTTGGGGGGCTACCTGGAGCATCACCCCCCAATAGCCACATGTTCAAGGACAGTCCAGACTTAGACCCAGGGCCCCAACTCCTTGGGCTCTGTGATCTGGGGTTCATTGTGTCCCCTCTCTGAGTCCCAGATGGCCGCTCCAGCACTGGGGGTGACTGTGATGATGATGAATTTCCAAGCACATACAATGCTGAGCCCTGTCCCCAGTTCACGAGGCGAGCTCAGGGCTGCAAGCATCCAGTCCAGTGTCTACTGTACCTGTCAGGGCCCAGCACTGACCCCAACCCCTGGCCCTAGCTTTGTGGGGGGTACACGCTATGGCCCAGGCCTCTGGCTTCATGCTCAGACCCAAGTGTGGTGGGCAGGAGATGCGGAAGCAGAGGCTCTCTCTCACTTGCCTCGAGGTCCCTAGTCCTTCCAGCCAGACTCACCATAGCGAGGCCTCACTTTTTCTTTACCTTGGAGTCTCACTCTGTCGCCCAGACTGGAATTCAGTGACATGCTCACGGCAACCACAGCCTCAACCCTATTGGGCTCAGGCGATCCTCCTGCCCCAGGCTCTCAAGGAGCCGGAACTACAGGCACACGCCACCGTGCCCGGCTAATTTTCTGATGTATTGCAGAGACAAGGTCTCATCAAGTTGCCCAGGCCAAGTCTCGAATTCCTGGGCTCAGGTAATCCTCTCACTTCCACCTCCCTAAGTGCTGGGATTGCAGACATGAGCCACGGCGCCCAGTGAGGCCTCACTCTGTACCTGGGCCTTGGCACCCCCCTCCCCCAAAGGCCCTGGACGGGGCTGGGGGAGGCACCTCCTACCTGGGCTTGTGAGTCCTGTTCCCGGCCGAGGTGGGAAGGCTGACGCTGATGTTGGGGAAAGGGGCCTCGGAGGAGGCGTTGGTGACCCTGTCACTGCTCAGCTCCAGGTAGGACCCGTTGAGCAGGTCTACACCGACCCCCTCGCTGTCCTCGTAATCCGCATAGAGGCTTTCAGCCAGGGACCCCCTCGGGGCACCCTGGGCAAAGATGCTGTTCACAGTCTCATTGAGGGTGAGCTCCTTGGAGTCAGAGCCCACATCCAGGAGCTGGTCAGAGATGGCGTTGGCCGAGAGGAACTCCTGGGAGGAGAAGCGGGCGTCCATCTCCTGGTCATCCTTGTCCCCCGAGAGACTGGCCACCGTGGTGTTGCGGTCTAGGGAGGGAGACGGCAGGCTCAGCCTCGAGCACCCTCGGGCCGTGGGGCAAGGGTTGCCCTGGGGGAGGGTCCCAAACAAAAAGCTTTGGAAACAAGAGACTGAACCCGGAAGATGGTTTCTGCCCAGCTAAAGACAGGATTCATCCAAGATTGTCAGGTGACCTGGACAACCTCTTGGAGAGGGGAATCTGATCGACCTCTGCGGTGGGTGGGATAGGGTCTTCCCAAAATTCAGGTCTACAGGAGCCTTAGAATATGAATATATTTGGAAATTGGGTGCTTGGAGATGTACTTGATTAAGAATCTCGACATGAAATCATCACGGATTTGGGATGGATCCTGAATTCAATGACTGGTGTCCTTGCAAGAAGAGAGGACATGCAGAGAGACAGACACACAGACACAGAAGGGAGGCCGGGTGAACACGGAGGCAGAGTGATGCCCACAAGCCAAGGAGTGCCTGGGGCCACCCGCAGCTCCTGTTCCCTGGTACTTACTCGAGCCCAGGGAGCCTGGGTGCACCACGAAGTATGCCAGGGAGCGGGCCTTGGGGTCAGACCGTCCCGGGTTTGACTCACAGCCCCTTCGGGGTGGACTGTGTGCCTCCCTCTCTCTAAACCTCAAGTCTCTAAGCCTCAGTCATCCATCTGCGAATGGGGAGAGCCAATCTACCTCGAAGAAGGCAGGTGCAGAAGGGCGTATCCAAAATCCTTAGCCCTGCGTCTGCCCAAAGTAAGACTTAAGTCCTTGGCACCTCAGGTTAACCTCTTCAGTAGACTTTCTTTTTTTGAGTTGGGGGTCTCACTCTGTTGCCCAGGCTGGAGTACAGTGGCTCGATCCCAGCTCACCTCAACCTTGACTTTCTGGGCTCAGGTGATCCTTCCACCTCAGTCTCCCAAGTAGCTGGGACTACAGGTGCCTGCTACCATGCCCGGCTCATTTCTTTTTTCTATTTCTTGTAGAGACAAGGTCTCACTACGTGGCCCAGGTTGGTCTCGAACCCCTGGGCTCAAGCGATCCTCCCGCCTCGGCCTCCCAAAGTGCTGCGGTTACAGTCGTGAGCCACTGCGCCCAACCTGCAGACGTTTGAAGGTCCGGGAGACCCCTTACCCAAGGCCCCTCTCCCTGGGAACCCCTAGCCCACCCGCTCCTCCTCTGCCCTCCTCCTGGTTACCTCGGAAGCCCTTTCCCCCGCAGGCCCCGCCACTGGCCGGCTCGCACACCTCGTTGGTCTCCCGGCCTCTGCTCAGGCCCAGCTCCAGTTCGAGGCCCGGGTGGCCAAACAACCGGTTGTCCAGGCCCAACCGCTCAGAGGAGGCCTGGCCGTAGAGGGAGCCGTTGTGCTGAACGAAGCCCACCAGCCCGGCCGCGTCCAGCTCCTGGCTCTCGGCGCTCTCGGAGGCAGGCTCAGAGAAGCTGTAGTAAATGGGTCGGACGTGGTGCGTGTGTGGTGGCTGCAGCAGCGTGTACTCGAAGGTGATGGAGGGGTTCTTGCCATTCTGGTTCCACACCTGTGCGGGGGTAAGAAGGCCCGGCCCCTCCTCACTCTCTCCAGCCCCTTCCCGGCTCCCTGGAACATGCCCATGGCCATACCCCTGACCCTGGCCAACTAAAGACATGATTCATCCGAGATTGTCAGGTGGCCTGGACAACCTCTTGGAGAGGGGAATCTGATCGACCTCTGTGGTGGGTGGGTTAGGATCCTCCCAAAACTCAGGCCTACCAGGAACCTTAGAATATGAGTGTATTTGGACATTGGGTGCTTAGAGATGTACTAAATTAAAAAATAGTTGAACAGGGCCATGCCAGGGGAGGGACGGAGGGAGATCCGCAATGTGCAGGACACACTGTGCAAATAATTTTTTTTTTTTTTGGTCGGCGTCTCACTCTGTTGCCCAGGCTGGAGTGCAGTGGCATGATCACAGCCACCACAGCCTTGACCTCCTGGGTTCCGCTGAACCTTTCGCCTCAGCCTCTCGAGTAGCTGGAACTACAGGCACATACCACACACCCGGCTAATTTTGTTTGAGTTATTTTAGAGATGATGTTTTGTCAAGTTGCCCAGGCTGGCCTCAAGCCCCTGGGTTCAGGCAATCCTCTCGCCTCTGCCTCCCAAAGTGCTGGGATTACAGGCATGAGCCACCATACCTGGACTCACAGATAATTTTTTTAGTAGTGAAGCCACCTAAACCCCAACCCCAATTTTATTCCCACCAGAAATCCGAAGTGATCATAGCACCCTGAGCCCAGCACCCTCTAACCCAGAGCCCCCAATGCAAACCAATGCGGGAGGGCAAAGACCCTGCCCCAATTCAGGTGATGCAAGCTCCAGAGCTCCCTGTGGAATGGGTGGCAGCCTTTGTTGAGACCTCCTCCCACCCTGCAAGTTCTTGCTCTGCAGACCTCAGCTGTCCTCTCCCTGGGAGGGTCTTCAGTCTTTTTCCAGAGATTCCAACCAAAAATAGCAGGTGTCAAGAGTAGTCAAGTCTAGGAAACTGACTCTAAAATGCAATTTCAGGCCAAGCACAGTGGCTCACACCCATAATCCTAGCACTTTGGAAGGTCTAGGCAGGAGGCTCACTTGAGCCCAGGGGTTCCAGACCAGCTTGGGCACATAGTGAGACCTCATCTCTACAAAAAGTCAAAAAATTAGCCAGACGTGGTGGTGCGTGCCTGTAGTCCCAGCTACTCGGGAGGCTGAGGAAGAAGGATTGCCTGAGCCCAGGAGGTTGAGGCTGCTGTGAGCTGTAATTGTACCACTGCATTCCAACCTGGGCAACAGAGTGAGACCCCGACTCAAAAATTAATATTAAAATAAAAACAAAATACAATGGGATTTTGGAGCAGAACCACCCACCTGGCAGGGGCAATAAGGAGCTCACCTGTCAGCTCATGGAGCAAAGTGACCCCCAGAAGGCAAGGGTACAGTCGTGAACGGGTTCACCAACGGGAGGCCAGGAGGGGACACCAGGGAAGACTTGGTGACCTGATCTCTAGCGGGGTCATCGCTCAAGGGTTTAAGAGTTGACCGGGGAGAGGGTTAAGGGTTAAAAGTTATAAGGGACTTTGGAACCCAAAGTATTGAGGAATGACACTGAGAGTCTGAGGTGGAGGCCTGCTTGGTGACCGATAAGGACACTTCCCATAGCTGGAAGGCAAAGAAGGCCGAAGAGGATCAGAGAACCAGAGAGGACTGGCTTCTCTACTCTTCAGGGTCTACCATACCCAAGCCAGAGTCCAACCAGAAGAGAGGGGACCCTGAGACCTGGGGGTGTGGCGCTCTGAGTCAGTATGCTTGAAAGCTTTGAAATCTCAGATTCCCCCGAATCTTCTGAGCCTGGAAATTGTCCCATTCCTCCCGGTTAAATAAAGCTAGCACTTCCCCCTTTGCTTTAAGAGGACGCAGACACTGGGTACAGGGGTTCACAGCTATAATCCTAGCACTCTGGGTGGCCAAGGCAGGAGACTCACTTGGGCCCAGGAGTTTGCGACCAGCCTGGGCAACATAGAGAAATCCCATCTCTAAAATAAAATAAAATAAAATAAAATAAATTAGCTGGGTGTGGGGGCACACACCTACACGTTGTAGGAGGCTGAGGTGAGAAGGTGACTTGAGCCCAGGAGTTGGAGACTGGAGTGAGCCGTGATCTTGCTACTGTACTCCACTCTGGGCAACAAAGTGAGATCCCAACTTAAAAAAAAAATGATGCTGAGACCTCTGCCTTCATGACCACGTGGCCTTCTCTCAGGACCTGGCCTGCTCTCCCCTTCTGGCCACCAGACCGGCAACTCAGGCTAAGTCATATCTTCACCCATCCAGGGAAGTCCTGGGAGAAGGAACACACACCAATGGAACCGCAGGGCCAGGCAACAGGAACCATTGAGAGCACTCTCCTATCAAGAGGAATCTTGCACATTGGCACGAACTTTGGGAGACTGCTAACGTGTTACTAGGATTTAGCTAGGATGGCCCTTAGAAGTGTGGGATTGTAAACTCGGTGGACAACAGTATGGAGGTTTCTCAAATAACTAAAAGTGAAATTACCATTTCACTCAGCAATCCCGCTGCTAGGGGTCTACCCAAAGGAAAAGAAGTCATTATACAAAAAAGATACCTGGGCCCAGCGCGATAGCTCAAGCCTGTAATCCCAGCACTTTGGGAGGCGGAGACGAGAGGATTGCCTGAGCTCAGGGTTTTGAGACCAGCCTGAGCAACATAGCGAGACTTCCCTCGTCTCTACAATAAATAAAAAAATTAGCCAGGTGTGGTGAAGCATGTCTGTGGTTCCAGCTACCTGGAAGGCTAAGGCAGAAGGATTATCTGAGCCCAGCAGGTCGAGGCTGCAGTGGCCGAGAGCAGCGTGCCACTGCACTCCAACTCGGGTGACGAACGTGAGACTCTGATTCAAAAAAAAAAAAAAAAAAAGGCTGGGCTCAGTGGTTCAGTCTATAATCCCCAGGACTTTGGGAGGCTGAGGTGAGTGGATTGCCTGAGCAAGAATTCGAGACCAACTTGGTGAGACCTCGTCTCTACAATTTAAAAAAAAAAAATTAGCAGGGAATGGTAGTGTGTGCCAATAGTTCTGGCTACTTGGAAGGCTGAGGTGGAAGGATCGTGTGAGCCCAGTAGGTCGTCATGAGTGTGCCATGGAACTCCAACCTGGGCAACAGAGTAAGACTTCAACTCAAAAAAAAAAGAGATACCTGTACTTGCATGTTCATTGCAGCACTAGTTGCCATAGCAAAATCATGGAAGCAACCTAGGTACCCACCAACAATAGACTGGATTTAAAAATGTGGTATGTATGTACCATGGAATACTACACAGTCATAAAAAAGAATGAAACTATGTCCTTTGTGGCAACATGGATGGATCTAGAGATCATCATCCTAAGGGAACTGATTCAGAAACAGAAAACCAAACCTTGCATGCTCTCACTCACACGTGGGAACTAAATGACCATAAAGATGGAAATAATAGACAATGGGGACACCAAAAAGGGGGGAGGTGGGGAGGGGTGTTAGGGTTCAGAAATTACCTATGGGGCGCAATGTTCCCTATCTGGGGAATGGGCCACCTGAGACCCAATCCCCACCACTATGCAATATGTCCATGTGATGAATATGCATTTGTACCCCCGAATCCCTCTTTTTTTTTTTTTTTTGAGTTGGAGTCTCACTCTGTCACTTCACTCTGTCTGCCTCGACCTGCCGGGCTCCGGTGATCCTTCCGCCTCAGCCTTCCAAGTAGCTGGAACAACAGGCGTGCGCTACCATACCCAGCTAATTTTTTTAAATTTTATTGTAGAGATGAGTTCTCACCAAGTTGCCCAGGCAGGTCTCGAACCCGTGGGCTCAGGTAATCCACTCACCTCAGCCTCCCAAAGCAGCTGAGGTGAGTGGATTACAGGCTGAGCCACCGAGCCCAGCTAACCCCCTGAATTTTAAATAAAAATGAAAAAACAAGCCAGGCTCAGTGGCTCAGCCTATAATTCCTCACCTCATCTCTACAATAATCAAAAAATTAGCGGGTGTGGTAGCGTGCGCCTGTAGTTCCAGCTACTTGGAAGGCTGAGGCGGAAGGATTG